TCCTGCTAATGATCCTTTTAAGAATCAGATTAACTTTGTTTTAAATTCTCGCACATGACCAAAGGAGTTGAGAGCTATCTTCCTTAATTAAAGGACTTCCAGCAATCAAACTATGCATATAAACATAATTGTCTGCACATAAACATAACTGGAAAGTTAATAATAAATGTGTAAGAAGGTTGTGTTTTACATTTTCCTGTGATTAACTCAATCAGTGAAGAGAGAGAAAACAAACTGAAAAAAAGAAAGGAATGTTCTGGTGCAAGTGAAATTCGGTGCTTTGTCTGTGTGGCAGTAATGTTTGCTTTTTTTTTTTTTCTTAAAAGAAGGCACTAGAAGACAAAAGAATCCCCCAACAACTCATGCTTCAAGTGTGCGAGACATGCTTTAAACCTGTAGCTTGTAGAGAAGACACACCTAATGCCTATAACATAACCAAATTCAGTAATGCATATTTTTCCATTACTTCTTGCACACAGGTAAATCTAGAAATGTATTTCCACCGTGAATTCATGCCTCAGATGAACAAGAACTATTTCTTCACACTTCAGAAACAGTATCCGCATGTATCACTATAAGCTGTGCTGACTACCAATTTTAACACTACAGGAAAATACCTCCACCCTGCTCCTCTATAACACCTTGGATTGAAAACATCTTTAAGAATAACAAGATAACAATTTAAAGTTATTGCTAAGGGCATAGTATCTACCTTTTATTATAGAAAAAGGAAATGGAAGATGAAATTCAGTAATACAGATTATATGTTTATGGTTTGATTGGCACAAATATCCCCTCACAATCTCCAAAGATACTAATTTTTTTTTTTTTTTCATCCTCCAGTGCTTTAGGTCTGATCCCAAGCATTAGGGATAAAGGTAACACTGAACACACCATTATTCATTTTTTTAAATTGTGAATATAATGCCAAATGTCAGGACCCTTTGGATGGGACCTGCCCATCTGGGCATGAGTAGCCTATTCTCTGCTCATGGGAATTTAAAGGCTTGCAAACTGCAGAGATTTCCGCGATAGCTGCTGTTTCCTACCTCAGTTCAGCACTTTTGTCTCTCACTCCAACTTACCAGGCAGAGAAGAGAAAAAAAGTAAGTATACTGACGCATTGCTTATTGCCATTCAAATCCTTGTGGCTTTCATCTCAGTTCTCCTCCCTGCTGCTTGCTATGGAGCTGTAACACAAACAAGTCCTTCCTCACCATCCTCCTGGTTCTAGAACTGTAAAACCAGTTGTGGTGGCAACACCTGGTCCTTCAGACCTGGCTGTGGTCTACCCTTTGTGAGGCTTGCTGCAGGGACATACACAGGAGTATGGACCTGGGCACTGAGCCCAGTACCCAGATGGCACAGACTATCACACAATACAATCAGTTTTCTTCCAGCTGCCACGATCATCAAGAATCTCTTCCTGTGCAAGGTCCAAATACTGCAACTCTTCTCTTCCAATGATTCTGCACATCCTCCAAAGTCTCCTCTTAAAACATCTTTTTGCTCTCACGTTCCTCTTCTCTTCCACCTTTGCACCAATATTCTCGCAACGTATACAAGATGCATTTTACATGAAAGCTACAGCCCCAGCTAAAGGCAACTACACCGGTACGCTGTGTTGTTGTACCTTGAAAGATATTTCCGTAGTCATAGTGAATCCATGTGTAATGACCGGCTCTTCTTCAGCTGTTCGTCCTTTCCAGCAGTCCAGCTCCACACAGCGGCAGCCCGACAAAAGCACTTGCCGATACATCTCCACCGATGAGTTACCAGCCAGCTGTCCAGCTGTGATAGCACAAGAACATGAAAAAAGTGAATCCATTTTAGGTCTCAGGAATAAATACAAACAATCTAGTAATAATTAGAATTAACAGCATTTTTTACTCTTAGCTGAGAGGAATAACACTCAAAGGCATACAAAAAGCATAAGAACATAATGGAAATAACTTAGGCAGAGTCAATGTCATGGTTTGGATTCTGCCCTCAGTTAAACTGCTGTGAGTGAGGAGAAATAACCAAACTGAAACCAACTAAAAAACTTCTGATAAACAGTATCAAATACATAAACTAAACTAAAATAAAAATGGCTTAGTTATAGAAGACTTTGTTATCCTTTGATGAGCAATGTGAAATTCAGAGGTGACTCAGGACAAGAAGATCACATTTTTGCACAACATGCGATGCAGTTTAATACAAGATAAAACAAACCTCCTGCACAGTCACTAGTGGTACCATTGCTAGGTCTCAAATCAATATTTAATACAGTAATGACCACACTGAGTTGGTCAGTTAAATTTTCTGATGTGATACTGCATTATGTAGGGAGAAATTTAATTAAACTATCAGTTTCCAATAATGACATAATATAAATCTAAAAATAAGCAAGGAAAACTCAGCTTTTCCCCAACTCAGGAAGTATTAAAAAAACCCTCAAAAAACCAAAATCCCGAAGAACCCAATAAAGAAATCCAGCTGGATTCAGTGAAGGATATCCAGCCAGGGTGTCTTCATCTGCAGCAACAGGTTTGATTCACGTTGTATGGATACAAATTTCTTGCAGCAGAGAGGTAAAGATAACGGAAGAATGGCTTAGTGCTTGCTTTAGATGTGAAGAAAAGGGCTGCAGTCATCTGCTTTCTAGCAGACTTCCTGAGAAGACCTTCCTGTATTTCCTGAAGGGAATTCACTTGCTTTTTAAGAAGGCAGTGAGTTCATTTATGCTAAAGATTCTTCACTGATGGGGATATATAAATTCTTCATATAATGCAGATAAATCTTCATTTTATTGTCTCTGTGGTTGTGTGTTTAGGTTTTATGCTTGGAACCAAACGTTTCGGTTTGCTTCATTAAGTAGCATTTTCTGCTTTCTCTGTGTTTTTACCTTCCACTTAGAACCGTAACAGAAAAAACCTTCTATTTGAAAATTCCTGTTTACAGTTTATGTCTGATATATGAGCTGGAACAATCATAAATACCTTACAAAGTATTAACATTACTCCTGTTGAAATCCGTAAGATTCCTCAGCTCCTGCTGGAACCAGTGGGAAATATATGCTAATAATAGAAGAATTTGGTCCATGCTGGAAGGTTCTGAAAATCCAAATGGAGTAAGCAAAGTGACATCTTGTCTCTTGTTTTTCTACTTAACTTTTTCCTGTGTTTACCCTTTGATTATGGCAGGTTATCTTTACTCACACAAAAGTCTTTCTGTTGCAATCCCAATGTCTGGGGTAAGCAGTGTCTCTTTCTTCCCACAATGCAAACAAGCACAAGCACAGATCAGTTTACAACAGCACACATTTATGTGTACTCATTCCTAAGCATATGCTTACGAAAACTTGGCTCTCATTTTAGGGATCCACTAAAATCTGCTGTCTATAAAAAACTTACTCACTTAAAAAACTGTTTTCATGTTGTCTTTCTTTTCCCTCAAAGCATATTGAATTCGGATTAACACGCTATTAACAAACTCTACTATACTTCCTGAGAGACTACTGGCCGTTGCTGTTGCTAAGCATTTTGGAATACAGGATCCTTAACCTTCAAAAGTGCATCAGTAAATCATGACATGCATCGCTTGCCATATGACTCTTCTCCACACCACCTTATTAATAAGGCTCAGACATTTTGGAAGGATTCCTGCTAAAGATAACAGGATACTCAACCTCCAAAACATTCAACCTTCAGAAAGATTCCTAGTCAGAGTTGGAAATCCTAGCAAATGTTTTAATAGTCTCAATAGCTTATTTTTCTGAAATACGGAATATTAGGAAAGTTCCCTCAAATGTTTTTTGCACATATTATTTATAAATTCCTGTTGTGTGAGTCTCTATTTGTATCTGTTCCAAATGATCCCTTTAATAGATGCATTCTAAAATGTGTTAACACAGACACTAAAGGGAATACTTTCAGTATGATATTTTTAATAACCTGAGTACAAATCAACTTTTTAATACTGGAAACTGAAAGCATTACGTATTTGCTTCTGTAGTACATACAGCATCTACAGAAATAATATTTGTATCCCATCACCCTATATTGGAAAAGGAGAAACAGATTTTGACAAAAACTTGCTTTTCTAAAAAATATAATTGGCCAAATCACACCTGAGAGGACACTAAGCAAAATGAGCCTGTGCTAATTGATATCAAGACCCATGTTTCCCTATACAGAGCAGTTCCACATTTCTATAACTTTAAGCATTTCTCAGCAAGTACATCCTTGTTGGGTTCATTCACCACTGTTTTTCCAAATGCAAGTTATTTGCAATACATAGACTTTATTTTTTTTTATGATTTTGTGACATGTATCCTAAAACCAGGGAATATTTGCATCCAGGTATTTGGAATCACTTGACTCTTTGCTACTCTAGAAACAGAGGCTGCTTCTGCCCCCTCGCCTACCCACAGCACCACCTTCTCCTGGCATGAAGTAGTGCCTGTATACTCCCTTTGCTGTGCAGAACCATGAGTTGCTAAACATCCTCTCTTCAGGCAAGTCCTGGAAAAGCAATCAGTGCTCCGGATCATACACCGTAGTTTGCAGCATGCAAACTCAGCGCCTCGTACTGCTGGGAGTCTGGCTCTTAACTCCAACAGCAACAGAAGGTGCTGGTGGCTAACGTTTTTTTAGACACAGCACATTTATCTGAATTTATTTTCCTTCCACACTACTTTGCCATGCACAGGATAAGCAAATTAGAACCCACACTACGACATACTCTGCTACTGTTCATATGTAAGGCGAAATAAGGCTCTCGCTCTATGGATTTTTTTTTAACACTTTAAAAAAAATACCCCCAGAAAACGCTGATGGATGAAAGAGCTGCACAACAACCACTACTCCTCCTTTTTATCTGTTAGTCCTCACACTAAGATAAACCATGACCCCAGCGCCAGGAAGAACTTAATTTATCTGCCTTAGATTGCTGGACAGGACCAGCTGGGTCTGCTGGTAAGAGAACAGGTACAGCTCCTCCTCAGCTCAGCCTCTCTCTGCTGCAAGAGCTTCTGGAGCTCTCCTACCCTCTAGGCCATTGAGAAGGATGTGGTGGGGCTGCCTGAACTCAGCATAGCTCAAGCAGCATGAAGCAGACAGCCAAAAACTGCTCTTGGTGGTACAACAAACTCATGCTCACAGCAGGCATTTCCCAGCTCTCCTTCCCTTCTATACGATGCTGTCATCTTGGAAACTGTGAAGGTACTGTCTTGGAGGTTTTGAAGGTGAAGGCTTCAAGGAAGTGTTGAGTGAAGACAATAAGCAGCAACAGTTAGGACTGGGGAATCGCTGAGAACAGAAAAGCTGGAGGACAGTAGAGGAAAGGCCATAACAGCAATAAAGAAGAGAACATGCCCCTGATGAGATATTTTTCCAGAAACAACTGAAAGTACTGGACTGTAAGCAGGGAAACAGTCAGTGAGGGTGAGTGGTATAATCCCATGCTGGCTATATGTGCTCTGATAGCTCTGCAACCTACTGCTGCTACTATTTTCCCTTTTAGCCAAAGACATGGCAAAGGCTTGTGATTTTCATATTTTGCATTTCACATATACAATAGCAAGCTGCATCGCCACTGAAGTATGGAATGCTGGTAATAATATGTAATCATTTATCTTTGACTCTGGGTGCTGCCGAGAGAAATTCTGCAAAGTCTCCCTGCACTGTGACAATAGCAGTAACCTGAAGTGAGACTAGTGAGAAAATAGCGGAAAAAAAAGAGTTGCATATTAAGGGTTCAAAGGAGTAAATAAATACAACAGGATACCAGGGAGGAAAAAAATGACAGTAAAAAAAAGTTTCCAAAAGATTACATTTCTTTAAGCTATCCTAGGTTCACTGTGAATCAGTTTTCTTCATGGATTTTTACCTCTGTTCTTAAAAATTACATTTCCCTAAGAAAAAGAAAGCAATAGTACTTCTAAATAAATAATCAGGACTTGATGTACTGCCAAGGGTTTCTACTAAAGGCTAGGAAAATGATCAGGGTAATTAAAAATAAATTCAGAGCGTGCACATGTTTCTTTTTATGTTATAACGTTGTTTTTTTGTGCATGCTTTTTCTGGGTTTAAAAAACTAACAAAGGGAGAGATAATTGGCAGGGCATTAAGCACAGTAAACATAAAGTATTGCTAGACTGAATGGTTTTTCTTATTATCCTAATAATTATTACATGACTAGTTGCTATTTCACAGCTCCAATGAGGGCAGAGGTGCTACTGAAGCTTCCCTTCTGAAGCCACGAGCACTTGAGCAGGCCCTTCAAAACTTTCTTGGAAAGAAAAAAAATTAGTCTGCCACCATTAATTTTATCAATTGTACTAAGTCCTTGTTGGAAGAAAGCAAATAGCAATGTGATTGCTGTATCTGGTCTAGCCTAAAAGCAAAATCTAAGGTTGTCAGTTTTTGTAATACACAGATAAAATTCAAATCATTAATCCCATTGTTGGCCAGCTGCCACACATTTACTGAACGCAATGAACCCACTAAAAGGGAAGGGCATGTGGTTTGTGCCTCTAAATGTGAAAATACACATTCCAAAATGGAATTTGAAAGAGATTCAAACTTGATTTGCACTATCCCTCAAGTTTACTCTGATTTACTCCCCAGAATTTACTAAGCCAGTAATATTACATTAAATTAAGACTGAGGATCATACTTCCAAAATGTAGTTTCTGAAATTACTTAGAAATGCAGGCAAAGAAATCTGTAGATGCCATCTGAGATTATTTGCAGATTTTCACATACAAGTCAGAACGAGTTTGGAAAGTTTCAAGGTAAACTTTCTTTCTCCTAAAATAATTAAGTATGTTAGGTCATTTGTGGTAAAGTCAAAAATTTAGAACAGATTGGACTAATCACAAATTTCCATCCTTAATTCTTTATTCTTTGGCTTCTGTGCTTCTAAACCTTTAGAACATGACTCTCTCCTCATCAGCCCTAATAAAAATCGGTGGTATGGCACTGACTATAAACTCATGCTGGTGGAGGGGAGAGCAGTATTTTATCTCTTCCTACCAACTTTAAACTGCACTGTCTGTTCTTCCCTGTTGGCCTATGCTTTCCACATTTATACAACAGCTTTACTGTTTTCTCCCAGAAAATCTGTATAAAGTGGCAGCAGTTGGCTTAAGTGGGTCTTAATCCTCACTGACGGAACAAAGTCCATGCTGGAGGCAAGAAGCCTGCAAAATATCATAATTACAAATTGCTTTTGCTTTGGACATGTCTGCCCTCTTCCAAAGGGCATAAATTTCTGCATATCAGGATTATAACTTAAAAGTGGCCACACTGATTTTCATGTCTTTTAATTCAGAGGAACAAAATAGCTGTCAAGCTGAATACTTATATGACAAGTTTTAGTAAAAAACACATTTTACAGCTATGATATAAACCTCTGAAAAATGGTGTCTGACGGAAACAATGACAGTTCGTTCACTTGAAGAAAGCCCTAGAAGGTGCTGTAGAAAGTGCTATAACAAACATAAAACAGATGAAAGCAACTACCGCACGTTCTGTTTAAAATAGGCATCATCACTGCATGGTTTCGTCTATGTTTCGGCATACTGGCACTCTGAAGAACTTGCTCAGTTAGGGCAAGTCCGTTAATAACATTAAAAAGCCTACATTATCCATAAGCCACATTTTTAGCACACACTGTAGCACTAATTCTTTAACATAATAAGTCATTAGCAAACATGACAAGACAAAGCAAATATTTAATCAAATCGAACTCCCTGAGCACATCTGTTTGTCAAAAATGCCTACATAAACTAAAATAGTAAATTTACCATTATTTTCTCACATATTAACAACATCTTAGACTAGAAAATAAGTGACAAAAGTTGGGTTCCTAAACTGCCTTAGTTTTTTCAGTCTTGAAACATTGTTGACTTTGCTGTGCAAACAATACAGTTCAGACTCATAAACTCCAATTCAAATGATTAGGGCCTTCTCCTCAGCCTTTTAAAACACATGGTAGCACCTAAAAATTTCAGCTCAGATATTAGATGTAGTCAAAGACCAGATTTCCATTCCTTGCAGATACAAACAGACTGCCAGAAAGCTATGTGCCATGTTGGGACCTCTCTAATCTCTGAATCAAAGCAAATTTCATGGAGCTCAACAAACTGTCAGATTTAAAGTTTAGGGGCAAATTTATTAGCTACGGAGATGTCTCCCATATTCTGCTCTGCATACTTGTTTGGCTCTCCTTGGTGGTCATAAAAAATACATTGATCCCTCCACTCCCCAAATAAGGACCTTAATCTGGAATCCCGTCTAACTTGAGGGAAATCTTCCAGGGACTTCACTGTGCTTCAGACCAGATCTTATCTGAACAACGCAACTGCTGCTCACCTGTTAATAAAAGTGCATTTGATGTATGTGTGCAGCAGCAAGAACAACCATCAAGTGCCACCTTTACATCCCTGAAGACTCAGCTCCATCATAATTTACTGCCGATGCTTTAGTATATCTTATGGTATCACTGCAAATATGCTATGAATTTTTGTAAGATGAGAAATCAATCTCTCCAACACTGTACCTGTGAGGTAGGTGTTGTGTGAGGAATTGATGAAATAGTGTGACAGTGGTTGAGACATATCTTCATTTAAATCCAGTTTCTCAGGTGGAACAACACCATTTTCTTCTCCACTCAAATATCGCATAAATCCATCCACTGATATCTGTCCTGAGAGAAACACAGATCCAGGGAAAGCATTAATTAATTCCAAGTACAGATTTTATACACTTACACAAAGATGTGTGAAAGACCATATAATCATCAGACTGGCCTTCATCTAGTCATTCATATATTCTTTTGTCACTCTTACCTCATTTTCAGCCATATAAGTTGCATACAAGTCAAACAGAGAAAATAAATTGAAGCCTATCAAGGAAAGGGGTTGTCTGGAGACAAAAGAAAGCCTGCTTTCCAGAGAAAACCAAGAAACCAACAGAGACACGCACAAAGAAACAGGTAACTTTGACCTCTTTTGAATATGATTCAGTGTGTGTATATGAATGCAACCAAACTGCAAAGCAAAGCAAACTAAATGAACCACCTTTCAAGTGGGAACAAAGTTTTGCTTTGTAATTTTTACATTTGCTTTCCAATTCATATCTCACTGAAGTGCCAGCATAAATGATCATTTCATATACCGCTTGCAAATCAGAAAGCTGAGTCCTATCCTCAGCTTAAATATCACCATTGATCTCAGTGGAGCTGTCCTTATTACATCAAGATTAACTTCTCTGTCAAGCCTTCTGCATAAAGTTGATTTTAGGGTTAGCGTTGATTTGTTCATTTAGATAGAAAAAAAAAAATGCAGTAGTCTATATTTGAAGATGAATGCTTAACCGAACAAATTTGACATTTTTCTTTGCCTGGCATTCTTGTTATTTTGTCTAGATTTCACCTGTAGATTTACTCGACCATTTACCTTTAGTTAATTCTGTTACTCCCTATAGAAAACAGATCTTCTGTACCTCTGAAGAACCTTGAAGCAGATACGCGCCTTGGTGACTCCCAACAATGAGAACTTCTTACCTCTTGTTCCCAACCCAAAATATTCTGCATAGTATTTCTATCACAAAACAACCTAGTTGACTGACTATGGCATAGAAAAATGATAGACTTTAGTTCTAGTCCTAACTCTGCTACTCTCTCCTTTTAGGATCAATCTCTTTTTATCCTAAAACATATAAACGTACGCATATTTTCTTAGAATATGAAAAAGTAACAGGCAACCCTGCATCATTTTTGTAAAGCTTATAAACCACACAATGCAAATACAGTATGTAAAGCAATGACTTAAGATCTGTGCTTTGACCCTAGGAATTGGCTCTTGATCAGAGAGAAAAAGACAGAACAGTCTTAAGTTCAGATGTCTCATTTTCATAACAGCCTGAGAGGGTGGCACTAAATGAACCTATTCATACGACAAGAAGTGCAGTGACAATACAGAGCAATGCAATTATCATTCATTCTTCCGACAACAATTCTAAGATGGTTGGAAGGAAAAACACCAAGTCCATACACTATTTTAAGACTGTAATCTGAGGGTAATCTTGTTAGACTCCACAGCTGCTTTGTTACAGAGTAATTAATCATCTGCAGACAGAGGCCCATGCACTTTCTTTTTCACAAGAAAAAAAATACAAGATGGAGACAATCAGGAAAAAAAACCACACCACTGAGGTTTCTCATGAAACTAAAGTTTTATGAACAACTTATCAGCTGCATGAATCTACCAGAAAGATATTATGAATGTAAACAGTATCAGGCATTATTATGGAGTTAGCTTGAGTCACAATCCACTCTGCACCAAGCTCTCTGGGATATAGATATAATCTGTGGTATACATTCATACCACACAAGCAACATCATACAGGAAAAATGGGTAAGATCTGAATGACGTAGCTGCTACATGAGGAACCATCAAAGCCACATGATGTTACAGTGATTTGCAACTTCTGAAGTTTGAGATAGCTCATCCAGAGTCATCCTCAGTATCCCCTTGTTGTTTTGAATGTGCTCCTTTCAGCCAGTCTAGGAGGCTTAAAGTTGCTCTGTCATTTCTGCTTCAGGATAAAATGAAACATAGTGGCTTTCATACAAACAATTCCTCAAAAACCTGTGACATCAAAATCACAGTGTTCAGAAACAAAGCTTTCCATTTAACACAGGTACTCTTGTCAGTTTACATAGACATAGCATTCGAGCATCTCAAAGTAATCTCTGTATTTAATACTCGGAGTACACCTGATAAACAGGGTCTTCACAGTCCTTGTTTTTCAGGTGGACACCTGAAGATAAGTATAAATTAAGTGACTGGACAATACCCCATGGAAAACCTGTGGGTTAAGCTGAGAGTTGAACTGCACAAACTCTTGAAGCCTGTTTGGGTGCCTTACTCAGTTAAAGACCTTTGGGATAAAAGGAAGCAAAGCCCACGCCTGCATTTCCCCCCTTCTCTCTATTTTGTGGATCATTCTGCTTCTTTGTTCCCTTTCGTACTGAAGTAAGGCAAACTCTGCAGAGTGGTCCTTCTGCATATTGCTGCTGGTATTAACATAAATCACAGCAAGTATTATTCACATATATAATTACATAGTTTCTGAGTTATCTGAGCTTATGGCTGTAGAATGCTATTTTCCCCATCATAATTAAGCAGTCAGCATTTCAGAAAGTGAAGCAATTTGCAAGTTCAATTACAGCTGATATTGCACCAGGGAGAGTTTGACTGTGGGACAGAGATGGCAGATGACAAAGGGACTTTGCATCCTGGATATTAAAGAATAGATTGTTTGTGACCAACATCAATGATATTCTGAGGCCAACTGCAGTGAAGACGATCCTCCGTAGACAGTCATCCAAAATGAAATGGCCTGAACTTATTGATAAGATTTGTTATCTTAAGCATATTACAAACTAAGTGCAGACACTGCCAAGAAAAAATAATTTGTAATCAGTTCTTTCCATTACAGCTGTCACCTTTTATGTTCAGATATATGTTAGAAAAATTTAATTATATGATTAGATATAAAAAATTAGAGGGAAAAGAAATACACCAGGCAAAGACACAGGGACAAGACAGATTCCTTTTTTTTTTTTCCTTCCACATAATTGCCTTAAAAATCACCTGAACCCCAGGTCTTTGATGAAACTTTCAAAACAACTGGTGTGCTTTATATACTTAAAATTGTGGAGTTAACTGGCTTGTCTTTTTCACTCACCTCTGCTATGTTAAATTTGGTCTGATGTCACTTACTAGGACAGAGGCAGATCCAAAGCTCACTAGTGTTTGTTGAAATGCTACCATGACCTTCAAGAACATTTGGTTCAAGACCTTACTAAATAATCCTAAATGCAATGCAAAGACAGATGAGATTCCAAATGACTCTCTTTTAGGTACATTGTCAAACCCAGATCAAGAAGAGCAAACACAGACGTAACCATAACAGAAGCTATGTCAACACTACAGTACTCAGTGAAGATCTCTTCCTCTGCGGGCTCTGGAGTTTACCAGCACAAAACTTTATTTTTTTCCCCCCTCAAATATCTCTTCTCTAATTTATCAGATTAATTAGAATTTCCCTATGGGATCACTCAGTAGTGCTTTATTAAAAGCACTTAAAACAGCAAAAACATAAAAATGCCTCCTTTTTTCTGTGGTGTGTTGTCTACTTAAGTGTGCAACACTTAACTTTCCCACAGCGCCACCAGAACGTCTCCTGCGACACAGGGCAATGCCTGCCCCGGGCCTGCAGCTCCTCTTCCTCCTCTCCCCTCAGGGCTTGCAGGGCTGCTCCTTGCACTCTCGCACTCTTCCCCCCCTCGCACTCTTCCCCCCCGCAAGCTTCTACCCTCATTCCTCGCTGCCAGAGGCATTTTGCCCCTTCTTAAACCCGCTTCCCCTTAAGAAGCCGCCAACGAGGCTGAGGGGCCGGGCTGTGCCCTGAGGGGGGGCTGGGCTTTGCCCCGAGGGGG